ATATATATATATATATATATATATATATATATATGATGTCATACAACCGATATAATTAAAGGTTAAGCATTAATAATTTTTATGAATTTAAATTCTCTTAGTTTAAAATCTAGAACTTAAAAGTCTAGGAATTTCGGATAGTGCATCTCTTCATTAATCATATTATTCTGATAATATATTCATTTTCAAGAAATAATTTTCATGATTCAAGATTCTGCAGTCGTATAAATCTTGAAAATTGACATAAAACTATTCTTCTGATTTTCATTTATTTCCGAATTTTTGATTTTCATGTTTTAAGATTTCGAATTCTTCGAACAATTTTTAGAAATCGCAAAAAATTCTTGAAAATATATATCAATGAGAAAAGAATAATTGAGTAATTTTTATAAAAATGTAAGAACAATAGTCTTTCGACATTTTAGTTATTTGCACAACTTTGTAATGTAACTTAATACCTAATAATAGAAGAGAATAGCTCTATTAATCTATCATTATAAACACAACATTTTCGACATATAATAAAATAGCTAAACATTGCGCAGGATATATGCAATTTGTGTAACCTCTTCTTATCTTTTTCGCAAGAATCGTTCGATGAAGGAACTCTTTCAAGTAAGTACTATATAAAATCGACTTTTTAATTCCACGCTGATATCTTTGAAATTTTCTCATTTGTTTTAACTTTTTGTTTCTTTCTCGTATTCCTTTCAATATTCATTTGGTTTTCAGATCTATGAGCAGATCGGCCAACTATCAATTCCATTATAAAGACTATAGTGGCGCAAGTGTATCCCATCACGAGGAAGCCAAAGATGAATGAAAGTTGGTTCAGCGTCATTACTTTGAAACCTTTTTTCTTCGCGGCTTTCCTATGTCTTTCGCGCTTTATCTCAGCAAAGAAGTCAGCTCGAGATTTTAAGATCAAGCCGGCCTGTGTCATTTGTTGAATAATACCGTTCACTCGTCTGTACAGCGGCCAGTCCTCACGAGTAACATATGATTGCGTCATTTCGATCAACCTCCTTGATCTAATAAGATCCTGACCCTTGATTCTGTAATACAAATGGAAACAGTCGCCTATGCATGCAGCTTTTGTCGAATTCTCGACGAATTCCTTGCATTCATCGTATGTAACCGATACGAAGCGCGAGTCCATCATGTGATCATTTACCAGGTCTTTCATGTGTCTTGGTCCATATATCGTATATCCAGCTTTCTGTAAAAAAAAAAAAAAAATAGTCAAATTTACTAGTGCTTGTCACGATATGCCATAATTAATTTAATGAAAATTTATAATTTATAAATATATATATAATATATAACATATTATATAAAAAATATATATATAACAAAAGATATATTGCAGATATATATATATATATTTTTTGTTATATATTATATTATAATTATATAAAACTTAGTTATTACCTTAAGACTACTCATGCTATCGATATTACGATAATAAACCGGCACGGTGAGCAGGGACGACAAGTGACTTTGAAATAGAGCGTTTATATTCAGAAACAGAAACAATATCATGCATAAGAAGATTCTGGTAGAATCAATTGTGGGTGGATGCAATATTCCTACACAAACGATGAGTCTTATCACTTGTAAACCGGCTTTCATACATCCCTCAGTTATAACGAATATTACATATGCCAACAGGCATATTACGATTATTCCAACCATTACTTTCGGTGACATGAATTTTATCAGCTTGATGAACTGCGAGATTTCCCGATTTGGTTGCGCTATTACACAGAGGCCTGATCTCGTATGGGGATATGTGTATCTAAAAATAAATATTTTTTATGTTTTTTTCTTCAATAATTTCTTGCAGACTTACAAAATGTCTAGAAGCGTCGACAATTATTAAATTGATGATCACTTTAATAATGTGAATTTAATATTTCCCGCATCTTTTAATATTGCAATTTAAAATCGAATAACAATCGAGCTGAGCAGTTGAATGAAGTGGAATATTTATTAAAAATTTTTTATTAAAAATTATTATACATCACTACTGCATCAATTATTACAGAAAATCAAGTAACCGTAATCTTTCTTACTTATATAATAAACAGTTGTTACTCACTTTTTTCAACATTTCAAAATAATATGAAATATAATAAATAATAAGAATTAAAGTGTTACATTAAAAAATTTATTTATTTCTTATACCTGACTTTCCACAAGGTGAGCAAGCTTCTCACGTTCATGCCAATGTCTATTCTGCCATCACTCAGAGGTGCCATCAAGCCCTCCAGAGTGCCGTTTGGTCCTATCCCTCCGAGCGCGTAGGTACTGTCATTGTAAAGAGCGATGTCGAGGGATGCTTTTAATTTGAATAACAGTATCTTGATGATCTCGCTGTTATCGCCACGAAACTTGTCTATATTCGGGGCACTTAAATTGACTTTTATAAACGGTTCCATTTCAACGGCATTTAATCGAATCTCGTAGCCTTCCAACGTGGTTACTTTATCGAAGTCCAGATTTTTACATATATCTTCTAAAGAAGAAACAATGGTTGCTCTTCAAATTTTTCGGATAGTTGGTGTTTCAAAATGAGATAATACAGAATTTTACAAATAATAATTAGCTTATAATTAGAATTTCCAGTAGAATTTATCTTTTAATTTACGAAATGTATTTATTTCTTTTCTAATATAATTTCTTAAAGTAAATTAAAATTTTGAATTATACAAGTGTTCTGTATATTTTATAAAATACATTGCATAGAGATCAATGACAATCTCAAGGAATTTTGATTAATTTACATAATAAAAACAATAAAATAAGCGATAAAGAAAATATCATTTTATATTAAGACACTTAAAAGGGAATTTATTCATTTATATCAGATGGAAAGAAACTACCTAGTTCATATTTTCTCTTCAATATTATCCAAGGATGACCCTGTCATCCTTTGTCGCGGCCTACTTCGGTCCAACCATCCGGTGTACTATTAGAATAAGGATTATATGTGTAATAGACGATCCCCTCGTTCGGATCGATGCATGGAAATATAATGGAGAGCAGATCGAACTCCCAAGCTGTCCAAAGAAATGAGCGGGCATTTATGCATCCTCGAGTCTCAGTTTCCTTATCGACTATGATATAAAATCCTTCTGAATTTGCCCATGGCGAATCTTTTGTTCTCTACATGAAAATAATGATTATTATACAATTATATTTAGCATTTAGCAACCAGGCTTGATTAATATTATTATGAAAATAAATTTTTCTCAAAAAAGATATATTTTTGATAAGGAAAAAATATCTGGGAGATATTTTCATTACTTTTTATTATTTTATATTATATTTATGGTTATCAGCCTGAAATTGGTCTCAGTGATTAATGTTTTGGGTTTATCAGATAATAATTATCTAGCTGATTAGAAAATCTTGAGTCAATAATTAATCAGAAATGAAATTAAAGTAGTCAAACATTCTAGTCTAGTTTCTGAAAAGTAAAATTTGGAATTTAGTTAGAAATGTAGGTAAAATGATTATATGCAGTTTGTCAAGATTTTGTAATATTTTAGTGAAGCACGCAATTTTTATAATAGGTCTATTTTATTATATATATATTGTTTGTCACCTGCAAAATGGATCGCAGTATGGGTTGGGAGGATGCCACAAATACGAAACGATGTGATTTTCGAAGGAACTGAATGAAGTTATACTTCACATATTGGTTGAAGGAATATCTTGTCAGAGCAAAGTTCTCTAGGGCGTTAACTCGAGGACGACTCGTTTCTCCTATCAAAGCGACCGGTACCATACCGAAAAATACTCGTCTGAGAAATTCGTTATAATCTCCACCTAGCAGTAAAGTTAGTTCAGGCTCTTTTGGTCGACAGTGATCTAACATTAGTACCTACGAAATTAACACATATGATTTCTGTACAAGAAAATTTATAAATAATTTATAAATAAATTTATAAATAATTTATAAATTTATAAATAATATAAATAATTAATATAAATAAATTTATAAATAATCTATAATAGAAACAGAGATTGCTTTGAAAAATTAATTTAAAATAATATACTATAAATGTAATTTATTATAGAATATAATAAATTTACATAATATTAATAAAATAATTTCTATTAATTCATTTGATCATTATTTTAAACACGTTCTCGGTAATTTAACTTACCATTGCAGTGACTAAGTCTGTATAGTCAAGTTTCTCTGACGATGTAACATTATTATTAAGACCGAGAGAAGACACATTTACAATTAATAGTGAGAGGAGAACATAGAGAGGTATGTTTGACATGCTTTGAAAAAATTTAAAACTGCGGAATCTGCGAATGTCGCTGCTTTAATGGCAAATGTTTGAATGTCGGGTGTGTCTTACAATTTTTGCGGCGATAAATTTCTTTCACTTTTATCAGTGTAATCGATAGATTACGTTTAGATAAGCTCGTGCGCCACATTTTCACTTTTGTAATATGTTTTCACGGTTCCGTCCATTTGGATAGAAAGATGACACGCATTGAATTTGACAAGCTATTATAATAAGGACATTACAATGTCGAAAGAAATAATAGCTGCAGAAAGACGTCGTTCCTCTTCAACGTGCATGATATGATATGATAAATGAATATGTCAATGTTGCCTCGGTGTAATAAACGGGTTAAACGGCGACAATAGCATCTAATACGATGGAAAGGACTGAAAGATATGACTAAAGATATGATAAGATTTGACTTGTGCGCTGTTTAAGATTTTATTCATTGCACAATAATATAATCTATATGCTTCTTCTCTAACTCATTTCTAACTTTACTTCTATATATTTTATATATTTAAATTATACACTGATGTATTAGTTAGGATTTTATATTATTTATACGAATTCATTACATTTTAATTTCTCTCTCTCTCTCTTTCTCTCTCTCTCTC